AGAGAGAGAGAAACATCAATGTGCGGTTGCTGGGGGCCATGGCCTGCAACCCAGGCATGTGCCCTAACTGGGAATCAAACTTGCGATGCCTAGTTTGCAGCCCGTACTCAATCCACTGAGCTACACCAGCTAGGGCTATAATTGCTTATATTTATAAAGTGATTCTTTAAAAATATATTTATTGATGAGAGAGACAGGCAGACATCCACGTGAGATAAACACCAATGGGTTGTCTTCCACATGCATCCCAACTGGGTCCCGATCCCTTAACCTAGGCACGTGCCCAGACCAGGAATGGAACCTGTGGTGCTTCAGTGCATGGGAGAATGCTCCGCCCAACCAAGCCACACTGGCCAGGCCTTAATTACTTATTGATACCTAAAACTGACTTGTTGATCTCTTATACCCACCTACAATTACAATTCTCTCATTCCTCCTGTGCTTCATCTCATTCCATATCCCTTCCCTGTTGTATAATTTTTTTCCCCTGTAACACTCATGGCCTTCTACCCACATTATATAATTTCAGTATTTATTTTGTTATTTTGTCCAACTCCTCCTACTAGTATGTGAGATTGATGATGACATGGATTTTTGTTTGGTTCTCTGCTATATCTGCAACTCCTAGTGTAAGAGGCTGTTCTGCATGGCGTGGGCCCAGCTCCCACATGGAGATGCACAGGACCCACACCCACAGATAGGTTCTCCTGTGGGGAATCAGGCTTGCAATGTGCTTAGGGTGCTATGAGTCTTGCTTTTTGCTAAAACTCTCTCACCCTGAATTGAGGATATTTACTGGAAAGTAACTTCCTCAAATTCATGCTAAACCTTCCAAGGATGAGTGTAACTGGTTCAACCACTTCTGTCTTTTCATTTGCAAATATCCCTCTTTTGTGATGTGATTAGTGGCATTGGCTCCTTTGTTTGCTGTGAAAGGTAACCACCTAAAGTGAACCTGTGCATAGTAAATGAGGACCATCATGTAATGGGCGGCGAAACCCAATAAAGGCCTGTCGTGGCCGAGGCCGTGGCTTTTGCTTCCCTTGAGAGAAAAGCTATGCTGTCCCTTTTCCTCCACGGGACTTGGTAGTCCATGTGAATGTCTCATTTCATCCATAATGATGCAGATACTGCAGGCTGGTGTCTGCATCACCTAGAGTAATGTCAGGCACGTGGTAGACCCATAATAGATATTTGTTGAATGAATGAAATAATTACACTCATCACTCACACTCAGTGAAGAGAGTTTATCTTCATGGAAGGGGGGAAGTAGAGGTTGTTCATTTCCAGCACAAGAAGTATTATGTATTGGATTCCATGGAAATGGAAGCAATTAAATTTCCATGTGTCTAGAGCATTCAGGGGCCCTTTGAAATGCTGATATTTTATGATTCCCTTCCCACTCTGAATCTCTAAAACATGATCATTTTCTCAGCAGCTAAGCATTCATTTAAAATACCCTGGAATGTTAAACCTACAATGAGAGGATCCTAAAAGGATGGATCATGATCATAGTTCTAAAAGCTGCTCAGTACTACAATTCATAACATTTCTTCTCTCATTGTGTGCTGCTCTCTCTACTTTGAAATATATAAATTAATTGGAAGGTATGGGAAACTAATTTGATTAAACCCTGAATAATTATATAATGCCGTCCCCCATATATCAATATACAGGGTCTGGCAGAAGTAAGGCCTGCTTGAGTGTAGTTAGTAGGATAATAATATGGTTATAATAGTTTATAGTTTTAATTTGAACATTTCACCTAAAATGTCTTATGGTGTGCTTGAGTGTGAGATTGTTATGTTAAGGAATTACATGCTTATGATTTTGTAATAAAAGAGGGGCATGATTTGTGCCAGACCTTGTATTTGATTAGCATATATTTTTTCACACAGTCCTTTGAAATGTGTATTATCAGTTGAATATCCAAGTCAGCCTATAGCAGGAGCCCTATATATATTCATGTAATTTTTGGTAGCACAAATATGGATGCTGAAATTATTCTTTACAACTTTAAGACCCATCCTTTGGTCCTTCCTCTTTTAAAGGAACATAGACTTTTTAGGGCTGCAAGGTTTTGGTTATTTGGCTTGATGACCTCATTTTACAGATATAAAAACTGAAACCCAGTGATATTCTGTGACTTGCGCAGGTACCAGAGAGCTCAGTAATCTTTTTGGTCAGACTGACTTGTTCTAAAACTAAAGCAAGTTACCTTTAAGATTGCACTGAAAAACAGTTAATATCAGGAAATTTACTGAATATAGCAACAATGCAATATGCAATTCTAAACAATGTGTAGTTCTATCCATGGTTACTATATAAGCATTAGAAAAGGATAAAATCATTGATCTATAGGAAAGAAAATACCTCTGGAAGCGAGAGTCATGGATCACAAAAGAAGAATTTGTAGGTCACTTGAAGTGAACTGTCCCTATGGTGTTTACATGACGGGAAGAAACCACTTTATCACAGCATGGTTCTGTATCAGGCATGGCCTCTGCTATTTGGAGAATTAGGACTTCTTTTATTACCTAATCTAGCCATTTTTTTAAGATACCAAGAGGCATTTTTCCTTAGGTATGTTCACTTTCTCCTTGCACTACTGTATCTATATGAAGGTTATTATGCCAGAGTAATGTAAAAGTCCACAGTAAAAGTGCTTTATTTGCCACTAACACCTTTGTTCAAGGGATGGAGAATTCTTGTGGCATTACCGATTCACTTGGTGTCCTGATGTGTTTTCTCCACATGCTTTAGAAATTACGTATTTTTCTGAGAGGTGATAGTCCTTAATGTCCTAATTTCAGCAACAGGTTGTTTTAGCTTTGCTATAATTAAAATATCTTAGTAGCATTGATAGTTTAGGATATTTGATATTAATCTAATGGATAATACTTTGATCTTTTGTGTACAGCAGTGTTCTCAAACTACAAACAAAATTATGGCTAAAGCAAAATTTAAAAAATGGATTTTAATAGATTCCAGGAGGTAGGAACATTAGGGTAACTCATGGGAGTTATCCTAATTCAAAGCTAAGATTTCTGCCAACAGCAAAATTTACAATTTCCTAAGAGTGAATTTTTTAGTTCCCTTGACTAGAGCCTTGTTTAACTGTCTCCTTTCCCCATGGCTCACTTTAATTAACTCCTGTTTTGTGTGATTAGACACCAGAAACCCAAGAGTAAGAAGATCTAGTTATATTCTGAAAGACTAGGTCAAATCTGGCCTTCATGTGATGCAGATAGAACTTCTGTGCAAGAAGAGAAATACTATGGCCACATCGATTGAACATAATCTCAGTTTTTTATTTTTACTTTTTAAGAGATTTTATTTATTTATTTTCTAGAGAGAAGGGAGGAAGAAAGAAAGGGAGAGAAATATCAATGCATAGTGGCCTCTCTTGCACCTCCCTACTGGGGACCTGGCTAGCCCTCCATGCCTGTGCCCTAGATTGGGAATTCAACTGGTCACCTTTGGTTCGCAGGCCTGCACTCAATCCACTGAGCCACATCAGCCAAGGCTGAACATAGTTTTAATTGACACAATCTGCTTCAGATTGTATTTCCTTAGATGTAATAATTTTTCTCTTAATTTTCTCCTAGTTTCTTGGTAATGTACTCCAAAGGGCTTTTCGACTATTGTACAAGGCAGTCTTCCTTTGTAAGAAATTATGACAATTTTCTCTTTTACTTTCCCTTATCTTCTACACTTTGCCCAGCATTGAATTGAGTCCTGATTTACATATTATGGTGAGCTTCTACAACCTAAATATAATGATTCTTTTGGAACTTTAAGTATTTAGCAAATACTGAATTGTGGAGATTAACGTGAACTAAACACAAAATAGAAGACAACTACAATGACACAATTACAATCACACAACTATACACACAACTACAATCACAGAGAAAATCAAGTAAGTTGCTATTTTAAACACTGTAAGCAAATAGTGCTTATTTCAGAGATTAATTCAAAACACAGATATTTATAGGCAAGAAAATAACTGAAGCAGTAACGCTTAAAAAGACCTGATGGTTAGTAGTTGAATGTCTGTGAAGTATGTTACTATATTTGACATTGTAGAAGTGGACATAGCATGGTTAATCCAGTCTTTCTTAAGCAGCTGAAAAGAATGTTAATATAAATAGTAAGATTTCATATAAAATAAAGCAAATGAAATCATTGTCTTATGACCCTATTATTTAAAGAACTAAACCTGTATTAATCAAATGTGAAAGAACAGGATGTGCAGTTCAATAGTGGGAGTGCAAGACTTAAAAATAAGAGGAACAGGTCAAAAATAAGGGAAAATATAGGGTCACCCATACAGAACTTTAAAATAGGAAAAAGTTTCAATAATAAACGTAGGTCATTAGATGCCCAACCTTGGTAAAACGAGCAGAGAGAAAAACTTCATCCCAGGTCACCTTTCCCAACGCCTCTCTAATGACTCCTCTGTACAGGAGGAAGGTTGGGCACTGGTGGTGCGTAGGAGCCCGTGTACCAAGGTCCCAAAAAGGGTTCCATGTTCTCTCCAGGCACTGCGGTCCTTTGGGGAAACGGTCTTTTCTTATCTCTCCATTTCCCTTAACCATGCTAAAAGCACTATCCGGCTCATTTCCAGGTTCACCCTAATTCCTGAAAATAAATTTACAGGGTCAGTCTCTGACCTGAACTTGGAAACAAAGTTCCAGTTGTCCGTCACTGATTCTCTCTCCAGCTCCATTGCTAAAGAATGCAAGACTGGCCTTTGAACATCCTTTGATTCTCAGCTCATCCCCACTCCTCTCCCAGTAGCCCTCGCTCTAAGGCCCGAGCCAAGTTCAGGGTCGCCTGTCTTAGGGCCTGTGGTCCACGTTCACTGCCCGCGGTGAAAGCGGCCACCCCGGGCGCTCCACGATGCTCCGCCCACAACCAGCGTGGCGGAAGTGGCTTGCTCTGGAAAGGAGACCGCGCGCCACCTGGTAGAGCGCGCATGCGCCAGTGCCCGGGACGCTAGTGTTGGGGGCGTCTGTAGCGCTCTTTCCCTGGTCTCCGCAACCCACGCCCCACAGTGAGAGTCGGGCTCACGCCATCTTTCCCCCAGCCCCGCGCACCCCGCTCCAGCCGAAACACTTTTTCCCTTTCTACACTCTCAACCCACTCCCACCCCGCCCCTATCCTAGCGTGTCCCGGGCCGCAGCAGCAGAAACCTCATCTCTACCCCCACATTCTCCACGCGGGACGCGCAGCAGTGCCTACAAGTGTTCTTAAAGCAGAGGTTGTTGGTGGCGTTGGGGGCGGTGCGGGGACGGACGGGGGAGGGGATGGGAACCGGGAGGGATGCCGCGCGGCGAGCCCAGCTTGTCCGGGCCCCGGCCCCGCCCTGGCCTCTGCCCTAGGGCGACCGCGGGGGAGTAATATTGGCTTTCGCATTGGAGGGGTGAAAGGAAGACGGTCTGAGAGGCTCTGGCCCTACGCGGCGCCCGGGTTCTCCCGCGGGGTGTGGAGTTGGCTCTTGACTCCTCCCCGTCGGAGGGTGGGCATGGGGTGAGGGAGCGGGGCTGGCGAGCAGGAGTGGGAGCTGCTGGGGAAAGTGTAAGAAACACCTTCCGCGTGTCATTTGGGTGGTGGTTTTTTGAACAATCTTTAAAGGAAATTGGTCTATGGACAGGGTGGAAGAAGAGTTAGGCAGAGTTAGTAGAAGTGTAGCATTTAGAAAAAGGAAAAGATCGACTCTTTTCTCTGTGGGGCGAACCCACAGCCGTGACTCCCAGGGAAATCATGTAGCATGTCTTTGGCTGGGTGTTCTGGTCTGTAAAATAGGGATAGTAGTAGTTTAACTTAGGATCGTGAGGATAATATGAGGTAATAACACACGTTAAATGCTTAGAACAGCACCAGGCACTGGTTAGCTACTTGATAATTGTAATTAATTTCGGTCTCCATGTTTTAAGAAATTTAGAATGACTGTGAGCTTGGTTTTTGAATTAAAAATCAATCAAAATACTTGGTCTGACAAACGAGAGTGGATTTACAGGGACAGTGGAGTGTAATAGTGACTGATGCTCAGAACCGATCCTGGACATATGTTACTAATGTACACGTGGGTAAATTAGCATAACTCCACGAGGCTGATAGAAACTTTGAGCTATTTCGTTGGAAGGTGAATATTTATGTGGATGAATAGGACCTAGGATATAAATATTGTATACATGAGGGGCAGAACTTTGTAGGTGGAATTAAGTTAGCTGTGAAGATTTACTTGCACACCAAATTGTGGACGGAATTTTGGTAATTTCTGGTGGTAGTTACAGACAGGCTGGATTTGACTGAATGTGAGGAAAGTTTCCTGACAGTACTTTGCAAAAACAGAAGGCACTTTACTTTATTGTGCTATTGCAAGTTTCTTGCCTCTAGAAATATTCAAGTAAAGATCTAGAGCTGCGTAGGTCTAGAGAGAGCATCACTGCCCAATAGAACTTTCTGTCATGAAAATATTCTGTAATAATCTGTGCTATCCTAATATGGTGTCCGCTAGACATGAGTGGCTCTTAAGCGTTAGAAATGTGGCTGGTGTGCTGAGGAACTTAATTTTTAATTTTATATTAATTAAAATATAAATTGTGACATGTGGCTAGTGGCTGCCTTATTGCACAGCATAAGGTCAAGAATTTAGACTTTGAGACTCCTTCCACTTCTTGCTTTGGTTGAGTTTTAAGTCAAAAAAGCCAACTCTTGGAACATCTATTGCCTTAGGGCAGCAATTTTTCACTTGGTGTGCCTCAGCAACTGGTGTGCCTCAGCAGCGGGTGTGCCTCAGCAGGCACACCTGTGTGCCACAAGAATTTTGAAAACATACACTACCTGACTGTTTAGTCAGGGGCACTAACCTCTGTTTCCTCAGACTGTCAAATAAGAAACTGACAACAGCCAACATAACAATAGCCGTCTGGTGTGAATGAATCAAAATTATACCGATTTTTTTGTCAGATTGGCAAAAAATATAATGTGTTTTTTGGTGTGCTGTAGAATTTTAGTAATTAGTTTATGTGTGCCATGAGATGAAAAAGGTTGAAAATCACTGCCTTAGGGAATCATAATTATATTCAAATAATGCCTTTCATTAAAGTACTATAGTTCAAAGCATGGGTCTGTTAGTAGTTATTTACAGCTTTACAAATTAAAGCAGAGCATTCTTTTGTTTCCTAGGTTGTACAGCTAATGCTAGATTCATTTGCAGAGCCATAACAGTACTAACTGGAGTTCCCTTTAATCATCACTGCAGTGTGTTGTGACCATGGCTTCCACTATCTTTTATCACTTTGGCTAGTTTTCAATGAAAGCTTTTCAACTCTTTTATTCTTGAAGTTTTTTTTTCTTATTTGAAAGATTTTTTTTTTTAAACTTCTGAGTGTCAGGCCATCTTAGAAGCAATTTTGTGGTTATCAGGTTATTAGTCTTCAAAATTTTTGAAGAGGTAAGTCTGAAATTTGGTGATAAGTTGTGATTATTTTCTGTGAAATATGTAGATGTTTCTTTTTCAAGCAAATGTTTATAAAGTTAAGTTTGAAAGTAAAGCTTAAAAAACAACTTTATTGATAGCACCCTTAACTCTGGCTTGATGTCTGTAAAATGGTGACCTTGATTTCAAGGCTAAAGAAAAGCGCTAGATCTGAAAGAGAATCTAAAGCTCATGAATTAAGCATATGCAGAGAATAAGCCATTACATACAAATCAAAGTGATTGCTCTTATGTAGGGCGACTTATCCCCCACTTTTTTCTGGGACACTCATGTATTAGAGTCTGTTCATCTCAGTGTAATTATTAATAGAGCCCCGTTCACTCTCAAAAATGCCCTGCGTTTTTGGAACTGCATAATAATATGGTCACCCTATTTTTAGTTTTTTTGAAATTTGTAATATGTAATTTTAGGAGGATTAACCATATTGTAGTCTTAGAAATGTACTTACTTTTAAGTAGTGACAAAGTTATTGCCTTTGAGCTTAAGTAATAGAAGAGATATCTGGAATAAGACCAGCAAATGACTTGTTCTTTAAGCCACTGGTAATTTTAAAATTTTGCTTTTTCTTTATAATTGGATACAAATCTTGGGCAGCTTGACTTTTGGTTCTTCTCTAAAAAAGTAGTTTTTGGTATGGGAGATGAAAGAGAAGCCATTCAATCAAATCAGAAGATTGAGTATTCTTGTTGAAAATAAATGCCTGTTTTATTTTATGGTGAGGTTGAATAGTGAAATCAGTCAGAAATCTTTTAAATATATATTAGAATGTTAAAGAAAGATTTGGCTTATAGTTTACTTAAAGAGGTGCAAAAAGCACTGGCTGGTGTAGCTCAGTGGATTGAGTGCAGGCCTGCGAACCAAAGGATCGTGGTTTGATTCCCAGACAGGGCACAGGCCTGGGTTGCAGGCCAGGTCCCCAGTTAAGGGGTGCTGGAGAGGCAACCACCCATTGATGTTTCTCTCCCTCTCTTTCCTTCCCTTCCTCTCTCTCTAAAAATAAATAAATAAACTCTTTAAAAAAAGAGTAAAGAAAAAAATTCAGCCAAATGCATTATTATACTAATTAATTTATACTATAGTGAAGACAATATTTTACTGAGAGACACACTTACTTTGAATCCTCACTTTTCTGATGGTTATATGAGGTTACTCATGTGGGGTGTTGGGTGCAGTGAAGCACATAAGAAATAAGTATTCTTTAAGTATCACCTGCTCTAGTCTTAAGGTTATTAAATAATGGGTCTGGAAGAGAGATTAATGTTCTGAGATGCAATGTGGATGGGTGCAAAGAACATTTAATACTATTTGTGAAAACCTAGGTTTGGTCCTCTTTTGCTATATTCTGTCTTTGTGATTTCAGTTTACTTTTCTGCGTCCCAATTTCCTCATCAGTAAAATGGAATTAGTACCTAACCTCATTCCACCTACTCACAGGGTAGTTGGAGGCTTCCAATGAGAATTACATAAATTGTCTTGTTTGACAAATAATTTATATTTAATTAGTTTTGTTTCAACTTGCCTACCTGCTACCTCCAATAAAGACTGAATCTAAATCTTCAAAAATTGTTGTATGTTTTAATTTGTGAAACAGCATATAGAATATAATAGGCATCATTGCCCAAAATGTTTTCTTTAACAGGTAGTACTGTAAGCCACAGTAATGGTGCTTTATTGATCTGGTTACAACATAGTCTCTACACAAAACAACTCCATACTACTGCTAAGAGAGAACCAACATTTTCACAGACACTTGATGTGTTTTATCCATTGTGCTAAATGCTACATCTCATTTATTCATTCAAATATGTCATTCCTACTTAAGAGGTGATGCTGGTGAGGCCCTTTCTGGGACTGATGGTCAGGAATTTTTTTTTTTTTTTTTGCATTATACTATTGCCTTCAATAATATCTAGTTGGTAGTTAATGGATATTGAATGTTAAATAAGGTAATGAATATGCAAATTATGCTATCTGGCATATAATGTACAGTAGTTGAAAAAAATGTGTTGAATTGATAGGACAGTAAGTTGAAATAATATGTAAATGCACTTTATAAATTATTTTAAAATCTTGAAGTAAATTTTAAATAGCAAAAGATTTGCTATTTAAAATGCTATAGAGTTTTTTTTACTGAATTCTGTATATTTTACTTTTTCATACTTATTTTTGAATCTTTAAAAGACTACTACTGCCATGGCTGGTGTAGCTCAGTTAGTTATAGTGTTGTCGTCCTGTAGGCTGAAGGGTCTTGGGTTTGATTCCCAGTCAGGGCGCGTAACTAGGTTGCAGTGATTTGGTCCTTTGTTGGGCATGTGTGGGAAGCAATCCATAGACGTTTCCCTGTCTCTCTCTGTCCCTCCCTCCCACCCACTCTCTCTTCCCCTTCCTCATTCTCTGACATCAATGAGCATGTCCTCGGGTGAGGATAAAAAAAAGACTACTACTAACCATACCATTCTTTCTTTGAGAATATACATGTTTAATGATAATACTTTGTGCTATATTTTCAAGAAGCTACACTTTTGCTTGGATGATGATTCTTCTGCTTCATCATTACCGTTATCATCATCATCATCATCATCATATCATGAACTGACAGTTTTCATATACCAGGCACAGTCCTATGTGCTTTTTAAACATTATTTCATGTAACCTATGAGAAGTGTATTTTTAATTTCTACTTTAAAGATGAAGGAACTGAGGCAGGGATATGACTTGCCCAAGGTCACGTGGTAAGTGTTAGGGCCTGTGTTTGAACT